ATCCAAGGATCTGCGGGAGGCAGAAACACTACAGGTTGGGGGGGATAGTGGTGGTGGATACGAACTGAATATTTAATCCTGACACATGGACCTGTGGTACCCATGAATCAGTGGTAAAAGTTTCCCATACATCCAGAAATTCTCAGAGCCAAGTCTATTCTGGATACCAATGGACTGAGAGGCTGATATCGGGGGTATGGACTCAAATAGGGGTGGTACTATGATCTCCTATAGGAGCAGAGGAAAGTTGAGAAGCCAATAATGACAGGAATTAATACAGACAGGCAACATCAACCTACAAATCTAAAGACTGAAATGCCCACAAAAGGAAGTGTTAGAGAATAGGGCCTCACGTAACTCCTGGAGGATGGCAGCAGGTAGATGAACCTCCTCCAACAGCTCATCTCTACCCAACAACATACCAGCCAAGAGACTAGAGAAAGTGCAGAAGCTGACAACTGAACCAAGATGAATGTTAACAATGGTCCCAACTCATCATCAAAGTGATGTGGCAATTGCTGAGAGGCTTTCTAATAAAAGTGTAGGGATAATAAATATCTCAGCACTATAGTTGGGGTCAGACAATTCCTAGAAAATTGTGATTTCACATTTCCAGGAGCAGATCTATTCTCTGAGTCTAAATATGCTTCCACCTGGCAGTGGTAGGTGAAAACACATTGACAAACGTAGCAGATAAGGCATAACTGTCCCTTCATGTAATTGAGCAGTAACTCTCTGAATGAACTGCAATATCTGGAGATGTAGGGAGAACCAAGTACTCACCCTCAGACTTTTCTGCCATCAATGAAAGCACAGACTCGAAAGCAACCAGGAAAAGGCCCAAAACCTCACACACTCAAAGTACCAACAGAAAAAATGGAGTCAGAGGCAGCTGATCCCAAATGGCCTCAGGAGAAGCCGAAAGAGTAAAGAAAGGTGATGGAAAAAGCAAATTTAAATTATCTCCAGAATGTTCAGGACCACCCGCAAGTGCAGCTTCAACCTAGAGCTAACACCTCACCCCTTGATTCCTGAGCAATGGTAGATATCAGAGGTAGGATAGGAGAGACCTGATTTGCCTCCTTGCTGGATAAATTAATCCAGGAATGCGTTCCATAATTAGGCTTGCCATACAAAATTTTTTTCAGTCTTACAAAAATCAAATAGAGAGTATGAAGAACACTCAAAGATACTTCAATGGTCATACTACAGAAAAAATCATTAGTGAACACTTTGTCAAGAAAAAGTAACAATATTATCTGAAGGAGATACTTATATACAGTACCAAAATAGAAGACACATTGACATAGGTGGAGAGTGTCACAACAGATATCTGATAAAGTACATTATATATATATAATGCTTAGATTGGAAAAAAAAACAACTAGTAATCGAGTAATAGCTGTATTATGAGAGTAGGTAAGTATGTTTTGGAAGTATGTACATCAAGATGAATAAATTATACAACTGAAAAGAGTAGGCCCATATACTTCATCAAAAGCAGTTTTTCAGTTACAATTATATTGTGATGATTTTGATCAATTGGTCAGTTGAACAAATATTTGGCAAATTACTTTTACTATAGTAAGTACAAGATGATTCAAAGTCAATGGAGATTGTTTTTGCTTTATATAAATCACTGGTTAGGCCTCATTTGAAATAATACTGTGTACAGTTTTGATCTTATATAAGAAAGGGCACTGACTTACTGAAAAAATTTCACAGGAGGATTACTACAATTATTCTGGGATGGAAGAATTATATAATAGAAAAAAGTTGAGATCTTTTATTTTCTCTAATTTCTTGCTATATTCTGAAAACAAAAAAGGAGAAGACAAGTTTTGACTTGTAAAGGACAGGTAAGGCTTATTAAGACAGTTTTATATTAATATTTTTCCAACTGGGTGATAGAATGAGTTGCCATTTACATCAGCAGTAACAGAGAATGATGCTTAACAAGAGTTAAAAATGTGAATCAATAATTTACTGAAAAATTAAGGATGGGTTTAAGTTTTTACTTCTTCTAAAGGGTGAGTGTGTAAGGATAATCTTGAAAGACCAAATGGTCCTTTGTTATCTGTATGTTTTGTTAGAGAAAGAACAAAGCTTATTTTGATTTCCTCTTCATTATGTCCTCCAAGATCTCTCAAAGTTTCCTTCATTACATGTACTAAGAAAGCTTACAAACTGTCCATAATAAAGTCATTTAGTGCTTCCACAAGTACTATTTTCCCAATCAGAATTTTCTTATTCTATGAAGGATACTATTTAAGCCCTTATTCTTAGTACTGAGGAGGATACAGTTAGAGATTTAGCTGAAAGCCCTTTCATAAGCTGATGAACAGAGAAATTACACTTTTAATACATAAAAGTATTTATGTCTTTAATGGGAGTAGCACTGGTGTTGTGAAGAAGGTGATTCAATTAACACTGTTGATAAAACCCTAAAGTCTTCTTCTAAGTGTTTAGCTGTGAAAACAATTAAAACAGTTCTTGGTTCTATTTACAGTAATTTTGATTTTAAGAGTGAGGTGAGACTACATTTTTACTACTATACACATTTTTGATCCTCCTCTTACAACTGGAAGGATAACATGTTGAATAGAATGCAAAAGCAAGTTACTAGACAGACACCTGATTTCAGTCCTAAAGTTAAGCTAAATGGCAAGGCTTAGAATTTTAATATTTGTTTTCTCTAAAACAGTAATAATTAGGAGATTTGACTCAAGTTCTCAATATTGTTAAATGTTTGCAAAGTATTTAAACAAGTTTTGTGTTTTACTGAATAACAAAAAGTTTAGAATTACAAACATGAATATTAAGGGGTACCAGGTTTAAGCTTCTGATACCTACATTTTGCGTGTTCATTAAACAAAATATTTTTGGATACTTTTAAGCTTGTGAACTGGTTTGTCTGATGGTTTGGTTTGTAGTGTTAGTTTGAATTATTGTAAAATTTTGTTGAACTGATGTACAGATGTGAAGGACTACATTCATGTTGTAATATTTATTTGGTTTGGATGGGAACTTGGAGGGTCAGATGGTGTTCTGTCACATTGCCTTATCATATGTTCTTATAAATATCTTTCTAATGGCATCTCTTAATTCTGCAGATTATCTTGCTTTTATTACAAGATGTTACAACTAAAGGTTCATATATATTCTCTCTAAATCTCAAATTTCATGAGGTATTTAAGAATGTCTCATGTACAATCAAGAAACATATACATTAGAACCATTAAGGACAAATGAACTATAGACTTAAGTATTCTCATACAGAATGTATATTTAGACAAAAAATGCAAATAGTATTTTCCATAACTTGTATAGCTCTAACAGTTTTTGTACCATTTCCCTTTACACAATAAATTATGTATAACTATAACACAAGAATCCATCATTCCAATACTTACTTTACGCAGTCTAATGATACTTTTTACCAACTAATCAGTTTAGCCTGCCAAAAACTAAGACTAATTAAAACATTTCAGTCCTGAGCTGATCATGAGAGGAAATACATTTTCCTGATGAGAGCTTACATCACATTTGTTTACAGTTCACTATATTCGTGATTGTACTACTACTCTTACAGATATGGAAAATATCAATCAAATAAATAAATGCTGTATTGCAGCCAACCTTAACAATTCACTTCTAAGGTATGGTCACTTATAAAATTTTATAATGAACTGAACATATTAAGCCATGTTGCATATAAATGATATATCTGATATCCTATCCCATTAAAATGATCTAACCAACTTTTATAAAATAGATTAGAACACAAGAAAGAAAATTTATTATTATTGGATAAACATAACATTATTTAACCAAGTTTTCAGTTATATGAGAGCATACTTTCTTTTATTATTTAGAACACAGGAATCAAGGTCTATAATTCACCAATAGAATATCTGTTCCACTTTTACTTTCTACACTTATATATCACATCAGTTGCGAATCATTTCCTGAAATTCCTCTGCTTGAATAATTTTATTATAATAAGTTTTACAAAGTAGGCATTCAACATTTTTATATTACTGAAGAATTCTATAGCTACAAATAATTCCAAAGTATTAGAATGAAGCATGGTGTTGATCGTTATACATAAAAATTACAAGATGTTAAATTCATCAAGTGGGTGTAACATAGCCTACATTTACACCAAATCAGGTAAACAGTAATAAAAAAAAATCTATATATTATACCTAACATGATGAAGGCTCCTTTTGTACTTGTCCCTAGGAGTCTTAACAGATTAAGCAGTGTATATGTAAGATTAGTTAGCATTTAACTCAGACTGCAACAACAAAAACGTTCAAATCATATTCTAACTCCTTTACTATACCAATAATAATAATAATCTTGAATGATGGGGGCAAAATCAAACACTGTAATGAATCTTTTACTCTACACTCAACTAAAACTAAAGCAAACGACATAGGTAAGGGTGGGTAAAATATGAACATAATATTAATAATATCAATAACTAAAGTTAAACTATTTTGAGAACACCAACTCACAATACTAAGATTAAGGATATAAAAATATTTTAACTTAACATGTAACGTAGATTGAAAAATGTAAATTAATCATTAATGTATTAAAAAATAATTGTCTAAAATCATCATAACACAAAAATGTACCGAAAAACACACATAAAGAAACTTACCATAAATATAAACTAATAAAGTTAAATGTGACTATCGGAGTATCTCAAGGCAAAGCGGTAATCTTATACTAAAGTGTGATTTTAAGAGTAGATTTGTAGTAGTAGTAGTAGTACTGTAATATACTACTACTAGTAGTAGTAGTAATAGGTCGGTATGGGGAATACTCATTCGTACACTGCACAGTGGCTGTACTTCCAATTTACATTCCTACACTATAGTGTCACAAGACGTACAACAAATAAACTTTAATATCTCCGAGATATACGTGCAAACATATTATCTTAATTTGTCAAATTTCTCACTTATATGGCTTAAAATAATACTTACATTATTAAGCCCCTGTCACGAACACTAGTTGTATATAATCCCAATATTCTTAATCATATTACTTAAAATACACCACCAGTAACATGAAATCCAACACTGATTCGACAGCATGCCACATTCTCATAAAAGATCGAGACAACGCGAGATTAGGTTTGTTCCCTGCGTTGATTGGAGTAGAAGTTTCAGGTTTACCATTCAAAGGCGAAAAGAATGTGATTCATACTCTCCGTTTTAACGACGCCAGTGCGTCACTCGTAACAACCGACGTTTCATGTTTCCTCACTTAAAAAAAAAGAAAAAAAAAAGAACACCTGTTAATTCTATTTGGTTTCACTTCGATGGAAACGACAAAATATATAGAACATTTGGTCATGTAGCTGATGAAAGAATAAAATCAACATCAATGTACTTAAAGTCCCACCGTTCAGATCTTTGAGTACGACATAAACCTTCTACGTGTTTGCACTTAGTTCTATATTTCGTAAATCTCGTCTTCCAGCATGTTATTTACTGACGAGTTTTACACATATTGCTGTATCCAGAGCAAAATAAAACAAATAATCTTGTATATCATTCAACAGGGTTATAATTTTAAAAAGTTACATAATATAACATACGGTCATAAAGGAATCATTTGGACCTTCAAATTTATTCATGCACATCCTGTCTCCTGTAGGTCAGCTGTAAGTTTACGACGCTAAAATCCGAGTTTCGATTTCCCGTGGTGGACACAGCAGATAGTCCAATGTGGCTTTGCGTTAAAAAAAAAATCTGCATATCCACCCTTGAGAAAAAGGAAAAAAAACATTTAAACCTACCTTTACTTTACTAGAAATTTTCGATTACCCTTTTAAAGTCTTTGAAACTGCCAGTTCCACTATTGCCGACGGCAACTTATCCCATAAGTCAAACACCTTGTTAGAAAATTAAACCTGTCTTAACTGGAATTTGGTCTGTCTTTTCCATATCTTAAAAGTGTTCCTCTCGTCCTATTGTATTTAGAATATAGCACAAAGAAATCAGAGGCATTTATCTTATTTATCTCCCAGACAATTTGTAAACTTCAATAAAATAATCCTTCCATCTCCAGTAAAATCTCATTAGCCTTCCTCTGAACTTTTCTAATAAATCAATATCATTTCTTCGATAACCTGGCCAAACCTGTACACAGTATTCTATGTGAGGCCTATTAATGATTGATATAAAGAGATAATCACCTCTTTTGACTTGTACTCAATATATCTATAAATACATTCTAAAATTCTTTAGCTTTGCTACTAATAACAAAGCAACGTCTTGGTGGCTTGAGTGACTGACTATTCACCACTATACCATTACTGCCTCACTTACAGTAAACGTTGAACGTAGTTATGATAACTCAAATGCATTATCTTGCGCTTACTGTAATTAAAGGTCACTTGATCCAAGTTATTCAGTAGTACCTTAACATCTTCTATACTACAAGAGTTTAAGTTCATAAACAAAGTTTACTAATTGAATAATTATGTCCCCATCAATATCATATTACTGAATACAAATAAGAAAAAGCAAAAGTCCAAGCACTGAACGCTGAAGCACTTCTCTATAATAACATTCTCGAAAAATGTTAACAGACTTGTAATGAAATATCTCCCTTTAGTGTATCCATGATGATTTTCTTTTGTGATATTTCACATCACTAAATATTTTTGTAAAGCTTCTTTTAGCAGGCTCACTAGAATTTTTCCTACTACTGAAGTAAGACAATCTGAGAAAATATTGTTACGACAGCGGAAGTTACGCGGTCCTGGGAGCATGCACACTGCAGTTTCTCGAAAGATCATGAATTTTCCTGACAACTCTAGTTTGTTCGAGGCGCCCTCTTTTTTAGTATATAAGCCTGGCGAGAAAAACCAGCGCGATTAAAGAGATAGGCAGATAGATTGAAGAGATGAGGACCAAACGTTGTCGAAACGTTGTACATTTGCTGTTATGTTAAACTTATATTAAAGTTTTTCTTCATTACCCATTCAAGCTGTCTCCAACCATTATTAGCCTCAAAGTGGGTTCCTCGTTATCGAACGAGATTGAAGAGATATAGATAGATCGGCAGATAGATTGAAGAGATAGATAATTGAGTCAAGCGAACAGTAGGCACGGTAAGT